ACACTCACACAGACACACAGACACACACTCACACAACAACAACAACCGCCATTCGCCACTAAGTGGCGGTGACGTCACCACGACGCTTGTGCCAGGCTATGTGCACCCTGAGGCCACGTGAAGTGTCGAACGCCCGCTGGCAGGAGGTCACGGGGCAGACCCAGGTGCCACGGGTCGACTGACTGAGATGACTGGCTGATGCACCACCTGTGCCCCCTACTGTGCCAACCTGCTGTGCTTTAGCCACCCGGCGCTCCGCTCGCTGTTGTGAGCGTCGCTCCTCCGCCCTCCGTTGTTGTTGGAGGGCGACTGCCTCCAACTGCCCAGTAGCATCCTTCACGAGCCTCCTCCACAGAGGCCGATCTTGACACCGCTGGTACCAGTCATCGGCAAGTCCACTCAGCTCCACGTCCTCCTGTACCACATCACTCCATCTCTTCTCTAGCCCGTGCCGCGCCCGCTTAGCCCCCTCAATCCGGCCAAACAAAAGCTGTTTCGGCATGCGGTGGCTGGGCATGCGGGCTACATGACCCAGCCATCGCAGCCTTGCCTGCCGGAGGAGCTCACCGATGGGACCCTGCCCAGATCTTTCAAGGATGTGTGAGCTCCTCACACAATCCAGTCTGGTTAAACCCAGGATGGATCGTAGGCAGGCCAGCCTAAATGTTTCCAACCGGCGAAGATGTTCCATTAGGGGGGTCCACGTTTTGCAAGCGTAGAGAAGGGAGGGAATGACCGTGGCCGAGAAGACCTGAAGCTTAGTGCGGAGCGACAGACCAGGTAGCTTCCACACAGCGTTACGCAACCGATGAAAAGATATTGCCGCTCGACTGATTCGGAGTGAGACCTCTGCTGTTAAACTGGAGCCAGTCATAAGCACACTGCCCAGGTATGGGAAACTCTCCACTCTCTCCACAACTGCCCCATCACCGATTGGGAGTTGTGGGGGTGGAGTGTCCGATGGTACAAAATACCCAGGCAGGTGCTTAGTTTTGGTGGGGCTGATGGTAAGGCCCCACCTCTTAGTGGCACGCTCCAGTCTCAGCAGCAGCGTCTCCAACTCCTCCTCTGACTGAGCAGCTATTACCAAGTCATCAGCATACATAACGTGGTTGAGCAATAGGGAGCCATCCCTTGACCGCACCCGGGCATCGATTAGCCTCCCATTATATCTGTACCATATGGAGATTCCCCCGGTACAGCTATTGAAGGCTTCACGAACCACGTGGTCAAAATAGATGTTAAATAATGTGGGAGCCAGAGGACATCCCTGTCGCACCCCAAGGTGTACAGGGAATGGCTCTGACTCCCGGCCACGTAGTTTTACCCGGGCCCGCTCACCATCATGAAGGTCCTTAATGATCGTGAGCAGAGGGTCAGGTACTCCAAAAGCACGAAGAACGACCCAAAGCCCAGGCCTACTGATGGTATCATAGGCCTTGACCAGGTCAATAAAGCAGAGATGTAGGTCTTGTTGGAATTCCCTACACCTCTGCTGTAGCAGATGGACAGAAAATATGGCATCTGTGCAGGACCGCCCTTTCCTGAAACCGCATTGGGGCTCCGCAAGCCTCTCCTCAGCGTGCCTGGCAAGGCGATGCTGAATAATCCTTGCCAGGACCTTTCCCGGCACACTGAGGAGTGAGATGCCTCTGTAGTTGTTACAGTCTGTGCGGTCCCCCTTCTTAAAAAGGGGGACCACCAGGGCATCCTTCCAATCCTGCGGAACCCGTCCAGTGGTCCAGACTGTTGTTATGATGTCATATAGGGCAGTCTGTGCACAAACGCCACCCTCCCTCAGCATTTCGCTTGGGAGATCATCTCTGCCCGCTGCCTTTCCTGGTCTCAGACTCCGGATCTCCTTCAATACTTCCTCAGCAGATGGCACCTCAGCCAGCCACTCACAGGGGGTGACTTCTTCCAATATTTGAGGCACCGCAGCCTCAGCAGGGTCATCCTCACTTTGTGCCACGATGTTTTCCTGGCTGAGGGATTTTCCCTCCCCCAGGACCTCACAGAAATGCTCAGCAAATCTGTGAACCTGTTCCTGGGGGTCGGAAATTGGATCACCGTTTTTTCCCCTAATGATGGTAATAGGTGTGGCGCTGCAGGTTACTTTTTTGATGGAGTTAAATAGAGATTTGTGATCACGGGCCACTGAGGCAGACTCCATCTCCTCAGCAACCCGCGACCACCACCCATCCTTGCAGCACCTCACAGCTCTCCGAACCTCCGAGCGAAGGCTGCGGTAAGCCTCCTCATTCTCTGACGTGGGATTCTGTAGCCGATGACAGTGGGCCTGTCGCTTTTTCTCAACCATCCTGAACAACTCCTCTGTCATCCAGGGTGTCTGGGGAGGTCTGTACCGCGTACCCAAAGCAGCCATTGCAGCTGCATGAGTCACAGTCCTAAACCTCGCCCATTTACCCTCGACATCAGGAGGAGTCGGGGACGATGCCAATCCCAGCCGCAAGCGATGATGAAATTCTCACTTGCAACTTTCATCAGATAACTGAGACCAGGCCACTTTAGGTTGGAATGGGGTCCTGGGTGTACACCCACCACCGGAGTGGAAGAATGGCAGGCGCATCTTACAGATGACTAGTCGATGGTCAGAGGGCAGATCAGCTCCACGGTAGGTCCTGGTGTCAAGGACATGGGCTCGCATTCGCTGGTCCGTCACTATGTAGTCCAGCAGATGTTCTTGCTTGGACCCGGCATGCATCCATGATGTTGTGTGGATGCGCCGATGCCGGAACAGCGTGTTGGTAATTACAAGCCCATGGGCTGCACAAAAATCTAGCAGCCTCCTACCGTTGTTATTGAGCTGATCTGGCCCATGCCCTCCAATCACTCCAGACCAGGTGCCAGTATCATGACCAACTCGGGCATTGAAGTCACCCAACATGATGACTCTATCCCGACACACAGACACACACTCATACAGACACACTCACACAGACACACACGCACAGATACGCACACACTCACGCACGCTTACACACAGACACACACAGACACGCACTCACACACGCTTACACACAGACACACACTCACACACTCACACAGACACACACTCACACAGACACGCACACACTCACGCACGCTTACACACAGACACACAGACACACACTCACACACTCACACAGACACACACAGACACGCACACACTCACGCACGCTTACACACAGACACACAGACACACACTCACACACTCACACAGACACACACAGACACGCACACACTCACGCACGCTTACACACAGAAGGCAGTCTTCACCTCCACACTGAGGCATGGCAACCTCAAAGGCAGAGATCCCCCAAGAGAGTGCTGAGTGAGTGTGGTGTGGGTGTGTGTGTGTGTGGTGTGTGTGTGCTGTGTGTGTGCTGAGTATGTGTGTGTGTGGTGTGTGTGTGCTGAGTATGTGTGTGTGCTGAGTATGTGTGTGAGTGCTGAGTGTGTGTGTGCTGTGAGTGTGTGTGTGCTGTGAGTGTGTGTGTGCTGTGAGTGTGTGGTGTGTGTGTGGTGTGTGTGTGTTGTGTGTGTGAGTGCTGAGTGTGTGTGGTGTGTGTGTGGTGTGTGTGTGGTGTGTGTGGTGAGTGTGTGTGTGGTGTGTGTGTGGTGAGAGTGTATGTGTGGTGTGTGTGTGTGGTGTGTGTGTGTGTGGTGAGAGTGTGTGGTGAGTGTGTGTGTTGTGTGTGTGTGGTGTGTTTGTGTGGTGGGTGTGTGTGGTGAGTGTGCTGTGTGTGTGGTGTGTGCTGAGTGTGTGTGTGTGGTGTGTGTGTGTGGTGTGTGTGTGTGTGTGGTGTGTGTGTGTGGGGTGTGTGTGGTGTGTGTGCTGAGTGTGTGTGTGTGCTGTGAGTGTGTGCTGTGTGTGTGCTGTGTGTGTGTGTGGTGAGTGTGCTGAGTGTGTGTGGTGAGTGTGTGTGTGCTGAGTGTGTGTGCTGAGTATGTGTGTGTGCTGAGTGTGTGAGTGCTGTGAGTGTCTGTGGTGAGTGTGTGTGAGTGAGTGCTGAGTGTGAGTGAGTGTGCTGAGTGTGAGTGAGTGTGCTGAGTGTGAGTGAGTGTGCTGAGTGTGAGTGAGTGCTGAGTGTGAGTGCTGAGTGTGTGTGCGGGTGCTGAATGTGTGAGTGCTGAGTGGGTTTCATGGCCAGTGTGTGAGTGCTGTGTGTGTGAGTCAGTGCTGTGTGTGTGTGAGTTTGTGAATGTGTGTGTGTGGGGAGCGGTGGCGCAGTGGTTAGCACGCTGCACTATGAACCCGTCATCCCGAATTTGCGTCCCGCTCATGGCCACCACCGGTGACAATCTGAACCGGTCCTAGGCCTCCCCTAGATCCACTCAGCCTCAAATGAGTACCTGGTACGGTGTGAAAACATCGCAACTGGGGAGACAAAGTCGGCCGGGCGTGGCGTAGGCCACCCACCTCGTGTGCCGTGCCGGCCTTCATAGGCGCTCGCTAAAAGCACTCGCCCCAACAGTCTGTTAAGGCTACACGGGGGTCTTTGTTTCATATATCTACTATTTTGTGGGGAAGCGGTGGTTCAGCGGTGGGCACGCTGCGCTATCAACCCCGGTTTGATTCCCGCTCAGGGCCAACGCCAGTGAGAATTATCCGAACCGGTCCTGGGCCTCCCCTAGGTCGACTCGACCTTAAGTGAGATGAACAAGCAAAGGAGCCCGGAATCCCGGCGTGGAGCTAGCGAGTGCCAGCACTCGGTCAGCGTCGACAGCGCTTGTCCCAGCAGTCCGTTTGAAGGCTACACAGTGGGGGGGGGGGGGGGGGGGCATTGTCTCTCTGTGAGCGTTTTCTGTGAGTTCTCATTCACCGGCGAGGCAAATAATTCCGGCGAGGATTAGTTGCCACTGCATTGCCAGCGCGGCGCCGTGCCCGAGAGGCTTGCGGGGCACCCCACAGCCCCCATCTCAACGTGGGGGTTTCAAGTCGACCGCGGTGCCGCACAACAAGATGCCATTCGCGTTCTCTCTCCGTCCGCCTGCAGGAGGAGGCGGAGGGAGTTTTCAACGCGAGAGTTCTACGAGAACCCACCGACTCTGCCCTGCCGGCATGCCCCCATGGCCTGCGGTGTTTAGCCAGGGCTGTGTGGGATGATGCTGCGTGATGACGCGGTGGTGGGACAAGAGCCTGTGGTTTGTAATAATAATAATTACTGCTAATAAGAGTAATATAGCAAGATATTCCAACAAGGTCGCCGGTGGTGATGATGATGATGACGTGACCCACCACGATAACCAGGGCGGTTCTGTCGGATTAATTCGAACCTGGACCCCCCTCTGCAGCTGAGGGGGGCAGTGTGACCTTTGCCCTTCCCCGAGTGTGGCCGATGATGACCCCCCTCCCCCCCACGTGGTTCGTGACCCCCAGCCCCAGGTCAGACGGAGAGAGAGAGGGGGAGAGCAAGGCCACGACCATGTCGGTGAGTGAAGTCAGGGAGATGATCGTGCTGAGTGGAGGTGGCGGAGGAGGTGGAGGAGGTGGAGGAGGAGGAGGTGGAGGAGGAGATTCTCACCAGAGCCTCTCGGGTTCCACCACCGCCGTCGACTCCTCGGCGTCCAAGGCGACGTGTCAGCCGCAGAGACCCCTCACCATGGTGAGACGCGGGGGGCACGTGGTGGTGGTGAGGGCAAAGGTTTGGTGAGGATAGGTCAGAGTTCCATCAGTAATATTTATCCAAGAGTGCCATGCTGAGTCGGAAGACTCTTGTTCAGGAGGGTCCTGTAATTAAATGTTAACTCCCTCGCCTGGTATGCAGGAGGTTGTGGGTTCGATCCCGACGCTGTATATTTTGGAGTTTGTGGTGTCTCTCTCCCCCTGGTCGCGTGGATGTTTCTCCGGGACCTCCGGGTTTTTCCTCCACGTTTCGAATCGCCAACACGCGTTTAGAGTAATTGGCTGCTAGAGATTCCCACGTGATGATGAGCCAGTTTGTTGAGCTATCATTTGTGGCCAGGGTGCTTCTGAAAAAGAGCTACACAGCTCAGCGGGCCTTACCCCGTAAAGTAAAATAGAGTAACGATGTTGAGTCGTCGTGTTTATTATCCACGTGGGGTGGGGATCCAGAAGGGGGCGTGGCCGAAGGCGGAGCGAGGCCACGTGCTCGGGAGCATAAAAGCGAAGTCCCGAGAGCAATCGCGGCTGTCTTCTGGAATCAACCCGCTCGGCGACGTCCCTTCGATCTTCGGTCATCGTGGGTCAGGCAGTATGTTACTGTATGTTACTGTATGTTACTAACGGACCCAGTTATGTAGTTACCCTGTTGGGGTTTAGTTAGCCTGTTGTGACGATAAGCAGTAGCCCTGTAATGGCCGTGTAATAAACGTGTTGCCTCCAAGTTCAAGCGTGTGCCTCCGTGAAGAACACTACACTTGTGTAGTGGTGTCCATGGAGGCACACGCTTGAATTCGGAGGCACTATGTTTATTACAACCCCAACAGGGTAATTCCCTCAGCTTACAACGTAGCTAACTAGACCCCAACAGGATCACTACATAACCGTACAACACAGTTAGCTAACTCTGTCTGGGTAGCTATATAATCCGGTCAGGGCAGCAACGTCTGCCTGACCCACGATGCCGGGCGCGATAACCGAAGACCAACGACCAAGGACGACGTGACGAGACGAGGAGACGTCACGCCGAGGGTTGATTCCAACGCGGGTTGATTCCACCAAAGAGGGTTGATTCCACCGACGAGGGTTGATTCCACCAACGAGGGTTGATTCTACCGACGAGGGTTGATTCCACCAACGAGGGTTGATTCCACCAACGAGCGTTGATTCCACCAACGAGGGTTGATTCCACCGACGAGGGTTGATTCCACCAACGAGCGTTGATTCCACCAACGAGGGTTGATTCCACCAACGAGGGTTGATTCCACCACCGAGGGTTGATTCCACCGACGAGGGTTGATTCCACCAACGAGCGTTGATTCCAGCAACGAGTGTTGATTCCACCAACGAGGGTTGATTCCACCACCGAGGGTTGATTCCACCGACGAGGGTTGATTCCACCAACGAGGGTTGATTCCACCAACGAGGGTTGATTCCACCAACGAGGGTTGATTCCACCAACGAGGGTTGATTCCACCGACGAGGGTTGATTCCACCAACGAGGGTTGATTCCAACGAGGGTTGATTCCAACGAGGGTTGATTCCACCAACGAGGGTTAATTCCACCAACGAGGGTTGATTCCACCACCGAGGGTTGATTCCACCACCGAGGGATGATTCCAACGAGGGTTGATTCCACCACCGAGGGTTGATTCCACCACCGAGGGTTGATTCCACCACCGAGGGTTGATTCCACCACCGAGGGTTGATTCCACCAACGAGGGTTGATTCCACCAACGAGGGTTGATTCCACCACCGAGGGTTGATTCCAACGAGGGTTGATTCCACCAACGAGGGTTGATTCCACCACCGAGGGTTGATTCCAACGAGGGTTGATTCCACCAACGAGGGTTGATTCCACCAACGAGGGTTGATTCCACCAACGAGCGTTGAGTCCACCGACGAGGGTTGATTCCATCAACGAGGGTTGATTCCAACGAGGGTTGATTCCACCAACGAGCGTTGATTCCACCAACGAGGGTTGATTCCATCAACGAGGGTTGATTCCAACGAGGGTTGATTCCACCAACGAGGGTTGATTCCACCAACGAGGGTTGATTCCACCAGCGAGGGTTGATTCCACCACCGAGGGTTGATTCCACCAACGAGGGTTGATTCCACCAACGAGGGTTGATTCCACCACCGAGGGTTGATTCCACCAACGAGGGTTGATTCCACCAGCGAGGGTTGATTCCACCACCGAGGGTTGATTCCACCACCAAGGGTTGATTCCACCACCGAGGGTTGATTCCACCAGCGAGGGTTGATTCCAACGAGGGTTGATTCCAACGAGGGTTGATTCCACCAATGAGCGTTGATTCCACCAACGAGGGTTGATTCCATCAACGAGGGTTGATTCCATCAACGAGGGTTGATTCCATCAACGAGGGTTGATTCCATCAACGAGCGTTGATTCCACCCACGAGGGTTGATTCCAACGAGGGTTGATTCCACCAGCGAGGGTTGATTCCAACGAGGGTTGATTCCAACGAGGGTTGATTTCACCAACGAGCGTTGATTCCACCAACGAGGGTTGATTCCATCAACGAGGGTTGATTCCATCAACGAGCGTTGATTCCACCGACGAGGGTTGATTCCACCAACGAGGGTTAATTCCACCAACAAGGGTTGATTTTAACGAGGGTTGATTCCATCAACGAGGGTTGATTCCATCAACGAGGGTTGATTCCACCAACGAGGGTTGATTCCACCAACGAGGGTTGATTCCACCACCGAGGGTTGATTCCACCACCGAGGGTTGATTCCACCGACGAGCCAGGAACGCTCTCGGGACTGCCCCTTTATGCTCCTGAGCGTGGCCTTGCTCCACCTTCAGGCACAGCCCCAAAGGATCTCAACTGAGCATCACGTGCCCCTCAAGCCACCTTTTAGGCCCCCTCGATACCCTGTCCCGGTCACGTGCCCCCTCGGGTTCACTCAGGCTACCACGTCCTCACTTTCCCTCTCTCAGGCCATCACCAGGACTATGCCCCCTAGGGCTGGCTGACATGCCGTACTTACTCTGGTGCTGGAGCGAGGCTCCGGATGCACAGTTGCACTCCTGTAACAGTAGCTGGCGCGAACACCCTCGTGACACCATTTACGTCACTACACATGCAAAGCCACTGCCGCTCAGCTACATATATATTGTGTGTGTACGTATATATATGGGGGTGGGTAGTGGAACGCTTAACGCGCTGCGCTATGAACCTGGCGATCCGGGTTCGATTCCCCCTCACGGCCAACACCAGTGACGATTATCTGAACCGATCCTGGGCCTCCCCTAGGTCGACTCAGCCACAAATGAGTACCTGGTGCGTTGTGTAAACATCGACACTGGGGAGACAAAGGCGGCCGCGCGTGGTGCTGGCCACCCACCACCTCGTGTGCCGTGTTGGCCTTCATAGGTGCTCGCTAACAGCACTTGCCCCGACAGTCTGTTAAGGCTACACGGATCATCTTTGTCTTTGTGTGTGTGTGGAGTTGTCTCCCTGTTCTGTTTTTCGAAGTAACTTGTAAACACGTGGAGAAGTGTGGGCTGGGCTTGTGGCAAAGGTGGTAGACCCCACTGCTAGTGCAGCATGGCTGGTGTTGTTGTTTTAACCTGTACACTCACCTGTGTCCACACTCACATGTGCCCACTCACCTACCCACTCACTCACCTGTGCCCACTCACCCACCCACACACTCACCTGTGCCCACTCACCTACCCACACACTCACCTGTGCCCACTCACCTACCCACACACTCACCTGTGTCCTCACTCACATGTGCCCACTCACCTCCCCACTCACTCACCTGTGTCCACTCACCTACCCACACACTCACCTGTGCCCACTCACCTACCCACACACTCACCTGTGCCCACTCACCTGTGCCCACTCACCTACCCACACTCACCTACCCACACTCACCTACCCACACACTCACCTGTGCCCACTCACCTACCCACAAACTCACCTGTGCCCACTCACCTACCCATACACTCACCTGTGCCCACTCACCTACCCACACACTCACCTGTGTCCACACTCACTTGTGCCCACTCACCTACCCACACACTCACCTGTGCCCACTCACCTACCCACACACTCACCTGTGCCCCAACAGTCTAGGCTGTACGGGGGATCTTTGTCTTTGTTTGTACATATAGAGTGCGATAAATATTTGCGAACTCAGGGGCAACCATTGTCTTACTCGTGGGAACTCTCCAGACTGAGAAAACCCGGTCCCACATTTTGATCGGCAGGTTAATGCCCAGCCAAGTGGGAGACAGAACAAAAAAACTGGAGCTAAAAGGGGACACGCTTTGGAAAAACTATGCCAACGCATTTCTGGCTGACAAGCCAATCCACACGCCTGCCAGTGCCTCGATGAACTGCTCATTCATTCAAAACCAAACGCCTTTCCGGTAAAGGAAGTTTGCGTGATCCGTGCGTGTTTCTCGTTTTTCTTCCCTATTGCCCTGGCCCCCCTTCGGACCGATTCCCACCGCACAGAAGCTCCCCGCGACCTTCGAACCTAGGGCGCAGCCGATGAGGGTGGCAGAGAGGGGCAGCTTCAAGTCACATGACCTCAAGCCCAGCGGGCAAGGTGACTCACTCGGAGCAACAATCACCACCACCGTCGTAGTCATCATCATCATCATCACCACCACCGTCGTCATCACCACCAGCACCAACATTACCACCACCAGCAGCAGCCATTATCAATCCACTGCTAGATGAAGGCCTCCCCAAGTCGTCGCCATCTTTCGCTATTGATGCACCAAAATCCGGCCCGCACGTGCACAGCAGTACCATCATCATCGTCGTCGTCGTCATTGTCGTCATCATAGTCGTCATCATCAGCAGCATCATAATCAGCGGCATCGTCATCATCAGCGTCGTCCTTTTCATTTATCCAATGGTGAACAAGAAAATATAATCGAGGGTGAGATCCATTCATAGACATCCCGCCGACAAAACATGAATACGATGAGGTTGCGGTGGGGGGGGTATTTGTTTTCAATCCAAATCCACGACACGTTACCTCCCACCAGTCTCAGCAGACGCGTTGCACGTGTGAGCACCTCTCATCCTCCCTCTGCCAGATACGGAATCAGAATATGTTTCCACACCGGAGAAATCCGGTGAGCTATAAAGCTCTTCGTCACAGATGTCCAGTAGGGGGCACGAGGTAAGAACGTCACAGCAAACAAACGTCCCGAGAGTCCAAGAAAGGCAAACAAACCACCCAAACACGCGTACACATTACAACTACACCATCCCCATCGTGCCACACAGGGGGGCCACGGCGGCATCAACTCGCTTTTCAGAAGCCACGTGGCCACAAATGGCAGCTCCACCAAGCGGCGCTGCCATTTGGGCATTCAGAGCAGCACTGCGTCGTGACGCCTTCCCTCGCCCCTCCCCCCCTTCACGTCCCTCCGCTGTAGCCCCCCCCCCCCCGAGTAGCCCCTCTATCTCATTACTCCACGCGTTGTATCGTGATCCGCCTAACCCCCCACAGTCAGAACAAGGCGAGCCCTGCAATTGCTTTGCTCACGTCACTGCTGGCGGAAAGGGGCTTTCCGCTACGGGGGAGCTGCATAGAGCCACCATAGGAGCGTATTTGGCCTACTCTTCTCTGATGTCCAGATGTCTCGGAAGGGGTGGGAGCCACTCCCTCTTGAGCCACTATTTGGTATGAACTTCTTTCACACCGTACGTAGCCAACCGTGCTAATCGGAGGTGCGGGAGAAGGACAACAAACTATGGGTCTCTGTGTGAGTCTGTGTCTCTGTGTGAGTCTATGGGTCTCTGTGTGAGTCTATGGGCCCCTGTGTGAGTCTATGGGTCTCTGTGTGAGTCTATGGGTCTTTGTGTGAGTCTATGTGTCTCTGTGTGAGTCTATGGGTCTCTGTGTGAGTCTATGGGTCTCTGTGTGAGTCTATACGTCTCTGTGTGAGTCTATGGGTCTCTGTGTGAGTCTATGGGTCTGTGTGAGTCTGTGTTCCTGTGTGAGTCTATGGGTCTCTGTGTTAGTCTACGGGTCTCTGTGTGAGTCTCCGAGTCTCTGTGTGAGTCTACGGGTCTCTGTGTGAGTCTATGGGCCCCTGTGTGAGTCTATGGGCCCCTGTGTGAGTCTATGGGTCTCTGTGTGATTATATGGATCTCCGTGTGAGTCTATGAGTCTCTGTGGGAGTCTATGTGTCTCTGTGTGATTCTATGGATCTCTGTGTGATTCTATACATCTCTGTGTGAGTCTGAGTCTCTGTGTGAGTCTGTGTCTCTGTGTGAGTCTATGGATCTCTGTGTGAGTCTATGGGCTCCTGTGTGAGTCTATGGATCTCTGTGTGAGTCTATGGGTCTCTGTGTGAGTCTATGGGTCTCTGTGTGAGTCTATGGGCCCCTGTGTGAGTCTATGGGTCTCTGTGTGAGTCTATGGGTCTCTGTGTGAGTCTACGGGTCTCTATGTGAGTCTACGGGTCTCTGTGTGAGTCTGTGTCCCTTTGTGAGTCTATGGGTCTCTGTGTGAGTCTACGGGTCTCTGTGTGAGTCTACGAGTCTCTGTGTGAGTCTACGGGTCTCTGTGTGAGTCTATGGGCCCCTGTGTGAGTCTATGGGCCCCTGTGTGAGTCAATGTGTCTCTGTGTGATTCTATGGATCTCTGTGTGATTATATGGAGCTCCGTGTGAGTCTATGAGTCTCTGTGGGAGTCTATGTGTCTCTGTGTGATTCTATGGATCTCTGTGTGATTCTATGGATCTCTGTGTGACTCTATGAGTCTCTGTGTGAGTCTATGTGTATCTGTGTGATTCTATGGATCTCTGTGTGAGTCGATAGGTCTCTGTGTGAGTCTATGGATCTCTGTGTGAGTCCATGGGCCCCTGTGAGTCTATGGATCTCTGTGTGAGTCTATGGGTCTCTGTGTGAGTCATTGGGTCTCTGTGTGACTCTACGGGTCTCTATCTGAGTCTACGAGTCTCTGTGTGAGTCTATGGGTCTCTGTGTGAGTCTATGGGTCTCTGTGTGAGTCTACGGGTCTCTGTGTGAGTCTACGGGTCTCTGTGTGAGTCTACGAGTCTCTGTGTGAGTCTACGGGTCTCTGTGTGAGTCTATGGGCCCCTGTGTGAGTCTATGGGCCCCTGTGTGAGTCTATGGGTCTCTGTGGGAGTCTATGTGTCTCTGTGTGATTCTATGGATCTCTGTGTGAGTCTATGAGTCTCTGTGTGAGTCTATGTGTCTCTGTGTGATTATATGGATCTCTGTGTGAGTCTATAGGTCTCTGTGTGAGTCTATGGATCTCTGTGTGAGTCTATGGGTCTCTGTGTGAGTCTATGGGTTTCTGTTTAAGTCTATTGGCCCCTGTGTGAGTCTACGGGTCTCTGTGTGAGTCTACGGGTCTCTGTGTGAGTCTATGGATCTCTGTGTGAGTCTATGGGTCTCTGTGTGAGTCTATGGGTCTCTTTGTGAAGTCTATGGGTCTCTGTGTGAGTCTATGGGTCTCTGTGTGGGTCTATGGGTCTCTTTGTGAGTCTATGGGTCTCTGTGTGAGTCTATAGGTTTCTGTGTGAGTCTATGGGTCTCTTTGTGATTCTATGGATCTCTGTGTGATTATATGGATCTCTGTGTGAGTCTATGAGTCTCTGTGTGAGTCTGTATCTCTGTGTGATTCTATGGATCTCTGTGTGATTCTATAGATCTATGTGTGAGTCTATGAGTCTCTGTGTGAGTCTGTGTCTCTGTGTGATTCTATGGATCTCTGTGTGGTTCTATGGATCTTTGGGTGAGTCTGTGGGTCTCTGCGTGAGTCTATGGGTCTCTGCGTGAGTCTATGGGCCCCTGTGTGAGGCTATGGGTCTCTGTGTGAGTCTATGGATCTCTGTGTGATTCTATGGATCTCTGGGTGAGTCTCTGGGTCTCTGGGTGAGTCTATGGGTCTCTGTGTGAGTCTATGGGCCTCTGTGTGAGTCTATAGATCTCTGTGTGAGTCTATGGGTCTTTGTGTGAGTTTATGGGCCCCTGTGTGAGTCTATGGGCCCCTGTGTGAGTCTATGGGCCCCTGTGTGAGTCTATGGGTCTTTGTGTGAGTCTATGGGCCCCTGTGTGAGTCTATGAGTCTCTGTGTGAGTCTATGGGTCTCTGTGTGAGTCTATGGGCCTCTGTGTGAGTCTATAGGTCTCTGTGTGAGTCTATAGGTCTCTGTGTGAGTCTATGGGTCTCTGTGTGAGTCTATGGGTCTCTGTGTGAGTCTATGGGTCTCTCTGTGAGTCTATGGGCCCCTGTGCGAGTCTATGGATCTCTGTGTGATTCTATGGACCTCTGTGTGAGTCTATGAGTCTCTGTGTGAATCTGTGTCTTTGTGTGATTCTATGGATCTCTGTGTGATTCTATGGATCTCTGTGTGAGTCTATGAGTCTCTGTGTGGGTCTATGGGTCTCTGTGTGAGTCTATGGGTCTCTGTGTGAGTCTACGGGTCTCTGTTTGAGTCTATGGGTCTCTGTATGAATTTACGGGTGCGGGTGAATGACAACACCGCGCTAAACACAAAACGCGGTTGTGGAGGGGCGTTCGAGATCGGTCGGTTGCCATGCTGCCTCACCGCCCCCACCTGTACCCAGGTGGTGGAGGCCCCACAATGGGCTCAGTCCCAGCCTGGGGGTCAACTACGGCCGTGGGGGGTACCTGGGAGGACTCTGGACCGGTGGCGGGCGGGGTCCCCGTGGTGGGGCCCGGCGGGGAGGGGGCATCCCCGCGGGGGGCCCACGACGCTCTGAGCCCCTTCGCCCCCGAGCCGGCCGGATGCTCGGACTGGGCACAAAGCTGGGCCCGGGATCGAACCCCCAACGAGCAGAGTTGGTGCGTTTGTGTGTGTGTGCGTGCGTGCGTGTGCGTGTGTGTGCGTGCGTGTGTGCGTGCGTGTGCGTGTGTGTGGGTGTGTGCGTGTGGGTTTGTGTGGACTCAAGGTGCACATGGCCTGGCACAAGCGTCGTGGTGACGTCACCCACCGCCACTTAGTGGCGAATGGCGGTTGTTGTTGTGTGTGTGTGTGCGCGCGTGTGTGTGCGCGTGTGTGCGTGCGTGTGTGTGCATGCGTGCGCGGTTGTGCGTGTGTTCGTGTGTTTGTGCATATGTGTGTGCGCGTGCCTGTTCGTGTGTGTGTGCGTGCGTGCGTGTGTTTGTGCGTGTGTTTGTGCGTGTGTGTATGTGCGTGCGCGTGTGTGCGCGTGCGTGTGCATTTGTGCGTGCGTGCGTGTGCATGTGTGCGTGCGTGTGTGCGTGCGTGTGTGCGTGCGTGTGTGCGCGTGCGTGCGTGCGTGTGCATGTGTGCGTACGTCCGTGTGTGTAGCGGTTAGCGCACTCCGCTATGAACCCGGCGACCCGGGTTCGATTCCCGCTCACGGCCAACACCGGTGACGATTATCTAAATTGCTTCTGGGCCTCCCCTAGGTCTACTCAGCCTCAAATGGTACCTGGTACGATGTGTAAAACATCGTCACGAGGGAGACAAAGGCGGCCGGGCGTGGTGCTGGCCACCCACCCCCTCCTGTGCCGTGCTGGCCTTTATAGGTGCTCATCGCGAACAGCACTTGCCCCTACAGTCTGTTAAGGATTTACGGGAGATCTTTGTCTTTGTATATACCTGCGTGCATGAAGCTGCGTACCTGTGTGTGTGTGCAGGGTCGGTGAGTGTGATCTACTGGGTGACTCTGAAACTGATGGGCTTTTGCCATCTGAACAGCCCTGCTTTGTCAAGGTGAGCAGACAAAGACACCCCGTGTAGCCTATAACAGACTGTTGGGGCAAGTGCTGTTTGCGAGTAGCACCTATGAAGGCCGGCACGCCACACGAAGGGTTGAGTGGCCAGCACCACGCCCGGCTGCCTTTGTCTCCCACGTGGCGATGTTTACCCACCGCACCAGGTACTCATTTTAGGCTGAGTCGACCAAGGGGAGCCCCCGGACCAGCTCATACAATCGTCACCGGTGTTGATGGCCGTGAACGGGAATCGAACTCGGGTCCGCTGGGTTCATGGCGTATTGTAGCGCGCTAACCGCTGAGCCACCGCTCCCCACGCACAGATCTAAACACCGTCGCTGGCCTGTGGACCGCTCAATTGGTGGCTATTTGATCTGTGTGCACGTACGTTGAACGTCTTCAGGGCCGTACGTAGTCAACCGCGTTGATCGGGGGAAGTTGGTGCGACGCTCGTGGAAATGAATCACAGCCGAGGTCTCGCAAAGGCCTAGAATTGGTTCCCAGGTGTTCTGCTCATCTGCCCAAGAAAGCGGCCTCCCCGAGTCTCAAAAGTCGGATTGCCGGAGGAGGATCCTGCTGTAGGATTTTAGCAATCGGTGGCGATGATTTAAGCTAAAAACTTAATTTTTTTGTATCTTTTTTTTATTTTACCAGGTAAAGTGGGGGGGGGGGGGGGGGGGGGGGGGGTATTTGTTTTTTTCAGAAGCGACCTGGCCAGGAATGTTAGTTCAGTGAAGTGGCTCGTCATCACGTGGATATTTATACCAGCAAAATACTCTATAAACGCGTGATGTTGATTTTAAATGTGGGGGGAAAAGCCGGATGACCCGGAGAAAAATATATGCGGCCGTGGGCAGAGAAACACCGCAAGCTCCAAATATACAGCAGCAGCAAGCGTCAGGGTCGGGGTCGAACCCACGACCTCCTGTATACCAGGCGAGGGAGTTAACATCAATGGAGTGATGTTGTGGTGTCATCTTACAAATTTGCCAAATTTGGACCGTGGCTCCGGCATGCAGTGGCCCACTCTTGCGAATGGCATCACAGCATCTTCAGGGTCCACTATTAAGAAGGCGGCAAGCATCTTTATATGTGGGTCCTACTCACCGTCTCCACATTCTATCACGCTACCCACCCCACCACTCACCACCACTCACCCACTCCACGCTACCCACTCATCCACACCACCACTCGTCCACTCCACAACTCACCACTCCACCCCTCACCACTCCACCACTCACCACCACTCCACCACCACTCACTCACATCCACTCCAACATGACACCACTCATCCAGACACTCACCCACCGACTCACTCCACTACTCACCCACCCACTCCACTACTCACCCACTCCACAACTCACCACTCCACCACCACTCACTCACACCCACTCCACCACGCACTCGCTCGCCCACTCCATCCACGCTACCGCTCACCCCAGCTGGTATCCGAGTCTGTGCGCTGCCCCTTTAGAGAGCCGATCTCCCTCTCTCTCCCTCTCCGCTGGAGAGTGGAGAAGGACAGAGAGACACAAATGCATTTTTTATGAATTTTCATTTTCCGCTCCCCCACGATGCCCTCCCACACCGACCCCTCCCCCCTCACCCCCACCCCGCTTCTCTCCCCCCACCCACCCCCACCCTCTCGCTCTTGTTTCGCACAAATTATTAATGCGGGAGCCTTGTCAGTGCGTGTGAGACGCGGGGTCAGATCGTGGGATCGGGTTTCTAATGCCACGCATGCACGCGAGGAGGGAGGGGGGTTGTGGTTGTGGGGGGCTCGTGTGTTTGGTTTGGTGTCGGGTGGGTGTTGATTGAGGGGTGAGTGAGTGTGTGTGAGGTGAGTGAGTGTGTGTGGGTGAGTGTGGGTGAGTGTGGGTGAGTGAGTGACCGGGTGAGTGAGTGTGTGTGAGGTGAGTGAGTGTGGGTGAGTGAGTGAGCGGGTGTGTAAGAGTTGGTGAAGTCAGGAATTGCACGGGGGTGGATATGGATTGGGGGAGTTGTTGTGGGCTGGGGGTTGGTGGGGGGCGAGCGTGGGGGGAGGGGGTGCGGGGTGAGGTTTGGAGTGGGGGGGGGTGTTGACTGGGTGCGGTGGGGGGTGCAGTTGTAGTCTGGTTCACGGTTGTTGAATGGGAGGGCAATCTATGAATGGGAGGTGGGGGTGGGGTGCTGAATTGGGGGGGGGGTTGTTGTAAGGGGGGGGGAGTAGTTACTGAAAGGGGGGGGGGTTGTTGAAAGGGGGGGTAGTTACTGAAAGGGGGGGGGGTAGTTGCTGTTCGAGGGAGAGAGTTTGGCGCAGCTGTCCAGGTGTAGCCTTCCACCTGGCGCCACGCGGGCCCTGTACAGGGTGGGTCCGCATCTCCTTTGACCCCCTACCCCATTTACAGATCTGAAACTCGATATTATTATACATATATTTTTTATGAATGTTTATTTCAAACAGAAGGGGGGGGGGGGAAATGTTAGAGATAAATTCATTAGGGGGGGGCGGTAGCGAGGGCGGGGGGGGGGTCACAAGACATCTGGACGGGCAGCAGGACCCCCCAGGCAGTAGCCGGGGCAGGAAGCGGGGGACCTCGTTGGGCAGCGGAGCGCCGTCGCCTTCCTCCCCAGGGGCTGGGCCGGGAGACTTCTGCCCCCTCCCCGGGTTTGACTCCGGGGCTCCCGAGCGGAGAGACAGGGAGAGAGAGCTCGACGCGGCCATCTCGTCTCGCCGGCGCCAATGGCCTCGAGCTGTGCGGTTGCAGTGGTCACAAGATCTGGCCAGGTCGAGGGGTCAGATCCGCCCGCGTGGACGGCAAGGTTTTCCAGTCCCTCGATGCCGAGTGCGAGTCTCGGTTCCTCCCCAAGCGCAATCCGCGGCACATCAACTGGGCGGTCGTCTACAGACGCAGGCACTTGGAGGACCAGCAGGAGGAGGTGTTCAAGAAGAGGTCTTGCCGTGCCGTGAAGGCTCAGCGCGCCATCGCAGGCGCCGCGCTCTCCGGCATCCTCGCCAAGCACGACCAGAAGCTCGAGCAAGTCATCCGAGCTGCGATGGAGGCTAAGAAGGTGAAGACTGGAACCAAGAAGTCGGCCACAGCTCCTGCCAAGGCTGCAGCTAAGGCTACCCCCAAGCAGAGAATCGCCAAAACGATGAAGTCGGCAGCTCCCAGAGTGGGGGCAAATGCTGAGGTAGGGGGTGGGGTGGGGGGGACAGGACATTCCTCAAAATTACCCCTCTACAGAGTGAACATCATGGAGTTACCATCACCGGGGGGTTAATTTTGTTTTGTTGGAAATGAACAAGTTTTGAGTTCTTGAAAAAAAAAATAGAGAAAGAGGAAAGTCCCATCGGTGAGTTCCTCCGGTAGGCAAGGCTGCGTTGGTTGGGTCATGTAGCCCGCGTGCCCAGCTACCGCATGCCCAGCCACAGCGTGCCCAGCCACCGCGTGCCCAGCCACCGCGTGCCCAGCCACAGCGTGCCCAGCCACAGCGTGCCCAGCCACCGCTTGCCCAGCCACCGCGTGCCCAGCCACCGCGTGCCCAGCCACCGCGTGCCCAGCCACCGCGTGCCCAGCCACCGCATGCCCAAGGAGCCTCTGTTTGGCCGCATAGAGGGGGCTAAACGGGCACAACACGGGCTGGAGAAGAGATGGAGCTGATGCGGTACGGGAGGATGTGGAGCTGACTGGACTTGCCGGTGACTGGTACAAGCGGTGTCAAGATCGGCCTCTGTGGATGAGGCTCGTGAAGGACGCCGCTACTGGGCAGTTGGAGGCAGTCGCCCCTCCAGCAGAAGATGGCACTGGGCCGACACTCACAACAATGAGCGGAGCACCGGGTGGATAAAACACAGCAAGTTGGCACAGTAGGAGGCACAGGTGGTGCATCAGCCAGTCATGTCAGTCAGTCGGGCCATGGCACCTGGGTCTGTCCCGTGACCTCCTGCCAGCGAACCTTCGACACTTCACGTGGCCTTCACGTGCACCTCGCGTGGCACAAGCAGCGCAGTGACGTCACCGCCACTTAGTGGTGAGCATGTTGTGAAAGAGAAAAATGTGTGCAGCAGGCAACGTTTAAGGCAATGGCCCTCCTCCTACTTGGCAGCACACAGAGAGGCCGTAGAGCACAGAGAGACTTTGCTCTTGAAGCAAAGGTGCCTGAAACGTCGTCTAATGTGGTGAATGTTCACAGTCTGCACGCAGAGCCGTGTGCTTCTTCTTTGGCGAGCGCACGGAATTCGTGTTTTGGGTTTTCGCGTGGCGGCGGCGGTGGTGCTGACAGCGGTGGCGGTGGCGGTGGTGCTGGCAGTGGTGGCGGTGGCGGTGGCGGTGGCGGCGCTGGCGATGGTGGTAGCGGTGGTAGTAGCCATGGCGGCGGTTGCGCTGGCAGTAGCGGTGGCGTTGGCGCTGGCGGTGGCGCTGGCGGTGGTGGCCGCTTTCGCGTCAATGCCGAGCGCACGCGGCAGCCGAGAACTGAATGGCGGCGGTGCAACGAAAAATCCTGGCCGCCGTCGTTTGAGACCAGATCGTAGGTCAACGTTATATCACGAGCACGAGGTCGAGGATTCGCAAAACGATCGTCGTCTGTCGCTGTGAAGGTCGTTTTACGAAATAAATAAGCATATAATTTGCTCGCTTCCAATCACCCTCCCTACGAATAAATAAAGAAGCTGTGATATATACTTGTACACATCCCATCAGCTACGCCGCCTTCTGGGAGTGCACTGGGACCGGTTTCGACAATCGGCGTCTCATCAGCAGAGCCGCGGCTCGCTCGAGCCAACGCTGGTGAAACCTGCCACACGTTTATCGGCGAGGACCTCTAAGCTGTTACCAATATCGAGTGATCACCCCCCCCCCACCACCACATCGCCATTGCAGAAGATAACGACGAAGGGTATCCGTGTTGCCGCTCGCCAGATCCGGCACAGGGTGTCCGAGTGGGCCGCGCCGTTTGCCTCCGTGCCGGCGCTCGCACTCAGCCGGGCGGAGGTCACCGCCAAAGTCATCCGTGAGGCGGGCGGCCCGCGAGTGGCACGGCCCTCGTGACCCCCACTACCACGGTGGCTAGGAGATGTTAACTACCTCGCCTGGTACGCAGGAGGTCGTGGGTTCGATCCCTACCCTGACGATGCCTGCTGCTGTATAGTTGGAGTTTGCGTGTCTCTCTCTCTCTCTCTGTCCGTGGTTGCGTGGATTTTTCTTCGAGTCCTCCGGTTTTTTCCACCACATTTTTAATCTAACGTCACGCGTTTAGAATATTTGGTCGCTATAAATGTCTACACGACGATAAGCCACTTCTTTGGGCTGCCATTTGTGGCCAGGTCGCTTCTAAAAAAGAGCTACACAGCTTAGTGGGGCCTTACCTGGTAAAATAAACAAAAATTGTTTGGTTTAGTGATGGTGGCGGGGCGCTGTGGTAGGAAAGGGTTCCCTGGGTTTGAATCCTGACCCAGGCACCTCTCTGTGTGGAGTCTGTGTGCTCTTTGTACAATGCTCCTGCTGGTGTGCGCGTAACAGCGATGGATGTGTCGGTGTGTTATTACTGTCGACTTCATTTGAGATACAGGGTTGTCCATGAAGTCTCGATATAATTTTATTGAAATAGAAGCAATTTAGGGTCAATTATGTGGCGATATGATCAGAGGCATATTAATCATTGACACGGAGGCGTTTTGGATTCTACACCAGCAACGTCGATATCTCTTCACAGCTCAAATCCTGTAAGCTGCATCACGGACACACATTTTGCAGCATCTTGCAAAGTAATATTTTTTGTTTGCAACATACACAATGTCGTAAAATCTTGCAGATCTGTAAAACTCTTGGTCGATACACACCCCCCCCCCCACCCCCGTGCAAACAATTCCCAGGGTGTTAAAATCCCGAGATGGAAGCAGGAGGACTTCTCCACAAATCTGGCCGTCGCCTGATGAAGCTAGTTGTAATTGCTGGCGAAACGTCGTGCTCAAATAGTAAATGTTACGGCTTGGCTCTCCAACACGCAACCGGCGTGCTGTACTAGTGACGAATTGCCACGTTCTGTTCACGTGACAAACCTGACTGATTGGCCGTGTCGAGTGGTGGCGGGTTTAACGACACGTTAATATATTTACGCGAACTAACCCACGAAAAAAACACCTCTTATGGATCTCCAGGGCCTAGTTTGCTGTCATGTCCTCTCCGGCGATTTGGAAAACGTTAATTGAAGGCGCTCACGGCACGAAGTTTGCGCAATGACGAGGAGTGCCCCCACCACCTCCCCCCGTTTTATTGCAAGTGTTACTACCATCGCACGTTCTTGTACATTCATGTTCATAGGGTCCTGCAGAGAAACATAGATATTAGACTCTCGATTATCCGCACGCGCACACTGACATTTTGACGTAAATGAATAAACTCGTGGATTTTCCCCGAAGCCCAAATTAATAATCTAAAAACAGTTGTACAACAATGTTATTCTTACTCTTTGGTTCTATTGGGTAAAGTCACGTAGGTGAAAATAAAATAACAAAAAATCACGACGTTTCGGCCACAACACAAGCGGCCTTCATCAGGTGAAAGGACGAGACTGTCTGGAGGACAGCGCTGGAGTGACAGACAGTCTCGTCCCTTCACCTGATGAAGGCCGCTTGTGTTGTGGCCAAAACGTCGTGATTTTTTGTTATTTTATTTTCACCTACGTGACTTTACCCAATAGAACCAAAGAGTATGGATCCTAGCAGTCACGAAAGCTTTAAATCTAGAATGTTATTCTTGGAAATGTTTACTGCAAGTCGCGTGCTTAAACTGAACAAATATGTTACTCCGGCTAATCCGAAATCCACGTGATCGCCTCTACAGTACAGTAGTTGCCATGTCTTTACAACAGTGGGCGGAGTTTTATTGATGTTTATTGGCCTGGTTCTGCTGCTGTCAACCACTTAGTGTGCCGAGTCTTCTGTGCGGGAGGAGGAAAGTGTCATCACTGAACACGTGCATCGGTCGATCGTTAGTATTTGTTCTAAATCTAAATTCACTATTGTAATAAAACAACTTCAATATGTGCTTGGCGACATTTTTTTGCTTTGTTCATTAACGAACGAAATTTTCTTAACTTACACCTAATTTACAGACAAATTGAGTGGTTTTGGGCAGAGAGATCTGTGGGAAAATCGAGTCTAATGTGTAAATATTTAGAGCATTAGTTCAATAATATCGACAGGGATTTTATAGACAAGCCTTCATTACATGGACGGATGTTTCCCGTTAAGCAAATTGGCCGGCTATTTTACACGGGAGATCCCGTGGTGCGTGAGCATAGCAACAACAACAACACGAAGAATGAGTACCGCCCACACACCTACCCATACACTCACCTGTCCGCACACTCACATACCTACACACTCACCTGTCCACACACCTACCCATACACTCACCTGTCCGCACACTCACATACCTACCCACTCACCTGTCCACACACCTACCCATACACTCACCTGTCCGCACACTCACCTACTCACACACTCACCTGTCCACACACCTACCCATACACTCACCTGTCCGCACACTCACCGACCCACACACTCACCTGTCCACACACCTACCCATACACTCACCTGTCCGCACGCTCACCTACCCACACACTCACCTGTCCACACACTCACCTGTCCACACACCTACCCATACACTCACCTGTCCGCACACTCACCTACCCACACACTCACCTACCCACACACTCACCTGTCCACACACTCACCTGTCCACACACCAACCCATACACTCACCTGTCCGCACACTCACCTACCCACACACTCACCTGTCCACACACCTACCCATACACTCACCTGTCCGCACACTCGCATACCTACACACTCACCTGTCCACACACTCACCTGTCCACACACTCACCTGTCCACACACCTACCCATACACTCACCTGTCCGCACACTCACCTACTCACACACTCACCTGTCCACACACCTACCCATACACTCACCTGTCCGCACACTCACCTACCCACACACTCACCTGTCCACACACCTACCCATACACTCACCTGTCCGCACACTCACATACCTACACACTCACCTGTCCACACACTCACCTGTCCACACACCTACCCATACACTCACCTGTGCCCACACACTCACCTGTGCACACACCTGTGCCCACACACCTGTGCCCACGCACTCACCTGTGCCCACATTTGTGCCCACACACCTGTGCCCACGCACTCACCCGTGTTCAATCACTTGTCCGCACACCTGTGCCCACACGCTCGCCTGCCCCCACTCACCCCGCGCAGGTCAGTTCCGGCTCGGAAACGTGGGACGACGCCGTCCCCGGCGAGCGGAGCGTGGGGGGCACGGGGATCGCCGGGGGGGGCCCCGGGGGGGCCACTGGGGGTGCCGGGGGGGGCACGGGGAGCGCCGGGGGGGGGCCCGGGGGGGTCACCGGGGGCGCCGGGGGGACCACGGGGTCCGTGAGGAGGAAGAAAGCGCCGCAGTGGAACGAGGAGGAGGAGGAGGACGATGGGCACCCCACCTGGGCCCAGGACGAGTTTGAGAAGACAAAGGCGGCCATCGAGGTGAGGATGGGGGGGGGGCGGTGGCGAGGGGGGGGTGTGATGATGCAGAGTGAGCGGCGTAGCTATTGAGTCACGCAGATGGTGCAACTGCACCGTTGCCCAGGTGCCAAGCTACGAAGGGGGGGCTGAGTGGGGGGGGGGGAGTAGAAACTTAATTTCACGTTGATCAAAACTCTCCGTCGCGTTCATCCGGTCTCGTTTGTATTTGTCCGTCTCCCGTCTTCCGGAGTCCCGTTGGTTCCAATCCCCGAGCAAATTTCTGTGGGAGACTCTGCGGGGGCGGGGGGGGCACCTTGAGTCTACAGCCAATGCCGCCAAACCCTGCCCAGTTTTACGTAGCCACGCCCACCCGACTACTAGCACCGCTCACCCAGCCACACCCACATGGAGAGGCGCACCCACATGGGGGTACGGGTACAGGCACACCCACGTGTACAGGCACGCCCGTATTGGTGTGTACAGGTAGAACCTCGTAATTTACGCGATCTCTCCTACTGCGTGTTAAACAGAAGCCCTCCTCCTCTCTCTTAACGACGGTAATTGGTTCCACGAAACCGGTCGTTAAGTAATTTGGTTGCTAAGCGAGTGTAGGGAATGCACGTTGAAGGTTTAATTCGTTGCGATAGCATCGAAAGTTACCCCTTTTCACCCAAAAACGTACTTTATAATATTTAAACGATGGATATCAATGCATAAAGATACTAACAACATTATAAACACGTAATATTAAAAGAAATGCGGTTAATAAATGCATTAATATTTACTGTACCTACAGCAGCCAGTCGTTAAAAGGGGAATGGTCAGTAAGCAAACACATTGGGCCCTATGGAGGGACAACACTACTATATACTGCACTACACTTCTATACACTACACTACTATACACTACACTCCTATACACTACACTACTATATACTATACAATACTCTTCACTACACTACTATACACCACACTACAATACACTACACTACTATACACTACATTACTATATACTATACAATACTCTTCACCACTACTATACACTACAATACTATACACTACACCATGCACGACACTGCTGTACACGACTATACACTACGCTATACACTACACTACTATACACTGCACTACTATACACTACACTACTATACACTACACTACACTATACACTACACTACACTATACACTACACTACTATACACTACACTACTATACACTACACTACTATACACTACACTACTATACACTACACTACTATACACTACACTATTATACACTACACTACACTATACACTACACTACACTATACACTACACTACTATACACTACACTACTATACACTACACTCTACACTACTATACACTACACTATACACTACTATACACTACACTATACACTACTATACACTACACTACTATACACTACACTACTATACACTACACTATACACTACACATTGGGCTATATGGAGGTCCGTCGTGAAGCTATTAGTGGTCCTTAAGAGGGCTTCTGCTGTAGCCCCTCTGCGGGTGTATGTAACCCTGTGTGTGTGTACGCGTGTACACACGCGTGTGAGGTACACGTGATTACGCGTGTACACCCGCGTGTGACGTACACGTGATCACGTGTGTACACCCGCCCGTGACGTACACGTGATTACGCGTGTACACCCGCCCGTGCCGTACACGTGATTACGCGTGTACACCCGCCTGTGACGTGTACAATCTGCCCGCGTGCTGCTGGCTGGGCGAGACCGTGAGAGGTGGCGGCGGCGGCGGCGGCTCGGGGAGGCTCTCATCCAGCAGTGGATCAACCATGGACGACTGATGACGATTGTCCATTGTGTGGGGAGCGGTGGTGTAGTTGCTGTTAGCGCGCGGCGCTACGAACCCGGCGGCCCGAGTTTGATTACCGCTCAGGGGTTAACACGAGTTGACAATTATTATCTGAACCGGTCCTGAGCCTCCCCTAGGTCGACTCAGCCTCAAATGAGTACCTGGTGCGGTGTGTAATACAAAAAAAAATCATCCCCACTGGGGGAGACAAAGGCGGCCGGGCGTGGTGTGCCGGCCACCCACCCCGTCGTGTGCCGTGCCGGCCTTCATAGGTGCTGCTCGCTAACAGCACTTGCCCCGACAGTCTGTGAAGGTTATACGGCGGTGGTGGTGGTGGCGGTGGTGGTGGTGATCTTTGTCTTTGTGTAGGCGGACGTGGCGTTCTGGGACAAGCTCCAGGCCGAGTGGGAGGAGATGGCCATGCGGGAGACGGACACCTCCTACCCCTGGGTCCAGGATCCTGGGGGGGCTGGCAAGGTGGGTGGGGGGGGAAGGTGGAGGTGGGGGTCACCTCATTAGCCTGATGAGACTGGTGGGGGTGACCCTCCATGTTGTTGTTGCTGCTGCTGCTGGGGGAGCGGTAGCGCGGCAGCAGCAGCGGTTGGCGCTCTACAAATAGCGCAGCCGTGCGTCGCGAGTTCCCCGCTCGCGACGACGGTGGCGGGGGGAGGGCGGGGAGCAGCTCCCGCAGGTGCACGCAGTCTCAAACGAGTCCCTGGCGTGTGTAAACAGCAGGGAAGACAAAGGCGGCCGGGCACGGCGAAGCCGCCACTCAGAGCCGGATGAGGGTTCTTGTAGGCCCCGTCTCGTCGGCCTTCAGTGATGACTCTCTAGAGAGTTGGTGGTGCCGCGCTTTGCCACGACCGCCGCTGTCACTCCCGCGGTGCTTGGTCAAGCCGCTGGACAGGCTTCGTCACTGCCGATGTCGTCATTCTGTGGCCCAGTGGTGCTTCACCTGCACTGCAGCCTTGTACCCCATTGGTTCTCAAACGTTAAAAAAGAGTGCACAATGTTAATCAATACAGAGGGTTTGATTAACAAAGTAGTTGTTGCGCTTACGTGCCGGTGCTTAATTTGTGTTTTTGATTATTTGCCTTCTCAAAAACAATCTGGCCATGTCTCGCACCCCCTAGAAAAAGCATCACGCACCCCCAGGGAGTGCGTAGAGCACCCCAGGTTAAAAAGAATCACCACTGGTGTAGTCCGTGCCCTCATTCGAATGGAGCGCATATTTTATCTTAAACACTGTAGCCTGTCCGTGCTGTGTACATATATTTATTCGAGAAGATATCTTCGTTACGTTTTTTTAAATCATAGAAAACTAAAAAATAACGTGGTCACATTTGTTTCCTTTCGTAGGCCCTGTTAGTGTTCCATAGGCGCTAGGCGCAGTGCCTGCTGTGGCCGCTTCGTTATAATAGGGCCGCTGCAGGCACCCACCCACCCCTCGTGCGCCGTGCACAGCCTTCAAAGGCGCTCGCGAGCAGCACTTGCCCGCAACGGAACTGCGAGAGGCTACTCGGTGGGATTGGTGGTGCAGCGGTTAGCCAGTGACGATTATGTTAACCGGTCCTGGGCCTCCCCCAGGTCGACTCAGCCTCAAATGAGCACCTGGTGCGGTGTGTAAACATCGCCGCTGGGGAGACAAAGGCGGCCGGGCGTGGTGCTGGCCACCCCCCCCCCCCCGCGTGTGCCACAATGGCGGCCTTCACAGGTGCTACTCGCTAACAGCACTTGCCCCAACGGTATGTTGAGGCTACACGGGGGACCTTTGCCTTCGTCGTTGCGTTGCCCCCTCCCCCGCCGCAGGTGCCCGGGCGAGGGAATCCGTTTGCGGACGAGGCGCGGGCGATGGAGGAGGGGCTGCGCTCCCTGCGGGAGGGAGACCTCTCAACCGCCGTGCTCCTCTTCGAGGCGGCTGCCACTCAGGACCCGGCCAACGCAGAGGTTCACCGACATGAACCCCCCTACTCCTCCTCCCACCCCCCCCCCCGCCCCCCTAATAATCATCATCATCGTCGTCCTCACCATCAGCAGGGTCCTGGCGACGCGGCGCCACGTGCCGCCGCCCGTTGCTGGAGGTGTCGTGGTTCGGGATCGAGCAGCCCGCCTGGCCGCCCTGGTTAATGTTGCGGCGGGGGTTCTGTATTAATGCTGCGGAATGATGAGCCGCCGCCGCCGTCGGCTTCACTCGCGGCAGACGGCAAAAAAAACAAAGATGCCCTTGTGTGCCGGCGTCACAGTCCAAGTTTTTGCCAAATTCAAAAGATTACGCACCGCAAATAACTCGTGGAGTTGTTTGGTCTATCTGTCTTTGTGTGTGTGGTCTGTGTGTGGTCTGTGTGTCAGTATGTGTGTGTGTGTGATCTGTGTGTCAGTGTGTGTGTGGTCTGTATGTCTGTGTGTCAGTGTGTGTGTGTGGTCTGGGCTCGCCGTCCCATCAACCAGAGGTGAGGAGTTGTGGTCATGGTTACTTATGCCCCCACCGAAGACGAACATCGGTGGAGGGATGCAGGCAAGACCGATGAGTCAGATGCCTTCACAGGTGCTAGCTAAAGTGGCCCCTCGTGATAGAGTCATTTTGTTTGGTGACTTCAATGCCCGAGTTGGTCATGATGCTGGCACCTGATCTGGAGTGATTGGAAGGCATAGGCCAGATCAGCTCAATAACAGCAGGAGGCTGCTAGATTTTGGTGCAGCCCATGGGCTTGTAATTACCAACACGCTGTTTTGGCATCGGCGCATCCACACAACATCATGGATGCATTCCGGGTCCAAGCAAGAACATCTGCTGGACTACATAATGACGGAACAGCGGATGAGGGCCCATGTCCTTGAAACGAGGACCTACCGTGGAGCTGATCTGCCCACTGACCATCAACTTGTCATCTGTAAGATACGCCTGCCATTCTTCCACTCTAGTGATGGGTGTACACCCAGGATTCCATTCAAATCCATAGTGGTCTGATCTCAGCTAGCTGATGAAAGTTGCAAGCGAGAATTTAATCACTGCTTGCGGCTGGGGTTGGCATCATCCCCCACTCCTCCTGATGTCGAGGGGAAATGGGAGAGGTTTAGGACTGTGACTCATGCAGCTGCAATGGCTGCTTTGGGTACACAGTCCAATCTCCACAGAGACCCTAGCTCACAGAGGAGGTGTTCAGGCTGGCTGAGAAAAAGCGACAGGCCCACTCTCATTGTCTACAGCATCCCATGTCAGAGAATGAGGAGGCTTACCGCAGCCTACGCTCGGAGGTTCGGAAAACCGTGAGGCACTGCAAGGATGGGTGGTGGTCGCGGGTTGCTGAGCAGATGGAGTCTGCCTCAATGGCCCGCGATCACAAATCATTCTTTAACTCCAGCAAAAAAGTAACTTGCCGCACCACACCTATTACCATCATTAGGGAAATAACGATGATCCAATCTCCGACCCCCAGTAACAGGTTTACAGATTTGCTGAGCATTTCTGTGAGGTCCTGGGGGAGGGGAAATTCCTCAGCCAGGAAAACAACGTGGGACAAAGTGGGGATGACTCTGCTGAGGCTGTGGTGCCTCAAATATTGGAAGAAGAAGTCACCCCCTGTGAGTGCCTGGCTGAGGTGCCATCTGGTGAGGAAGTACTGAAGGCGATCCAGAGTCTGAGACCAGGAAAGGCACCGGGCAGAGATGATCTCCCAAGCGAAATGCTGAGGGAGGGGGGCGTTTGTGCAGACTGCCCTACATGACATCATAATAACAGTCTGGACCACAGGATTGGAAAGATGCCCTGGTGGTCCCTCTTTTCAAAAAGGGGGACCGCACAGACTAACAACTACAGGGGCATCTTACTCCTCAGTGTGTCAGGAAAGATCCTGGCAAGGATTATTCAACATCGCCTTGCCAGGCACGCTGAGGAGAGGCTTGCGAAGCCCCAATGCGGTTTCAAGAAAGGGTGGTCCTGCACAGATGCCATATTTTTTGTCCGTCTGCTACAGCAAAGGTGTAAGGAATTCCAACAAAACCTACATCTCTGCTTTATTGACCTGGGCTCTGGGTTATTCTTCGTGCTTTCGGAGTCCTTAACCCTCTGCTCACGATCATTAAGGACCTTCATGATGGTGAGCGGGCCCGGGTAAAACTGCGTGGCTGGCAGTTGGAGCCATTCCCTGTTCACCTTAAGAGTGCGACAGGGATGTCCTCTATTTAAACCACGTAGTTCGTGAAGCCTTCGATGGCTGTACCGGAGAAATTTCCATCTGGTACAGATACAATGGAAGGCTGATTGATGCTCGGGTGCGGTCAAGGGATGATTCCCTATTGGTCAACCATGTTATGTATGCCGATGATCTGGTAATTGCTGCTCAATTCTAGATTTAAGGAGGAGTTGGAGGCGCTGCTGCTGAACCTGGAGCTTGCCACTAAGAGGTGGGACCTTACCATCAGCGCCACCAAAACTAAGCACCTGCCTGGGTATTATGCACCATAGGACACTCCACCCCCACAACTCCCAATTGGTGATGGGGCAGTTGTGGAGAGAGTGGAGAGTTTCCCACACCTGAGCAATGCGCTCATGACCGGCTCCGGTTTGACAGCAGAGGTCTCAGTCCGGATCAGTCGAGGTGGCATTATCTTTTCATCGGTTGCGTAACGCTATGTGGAAGCTATCTGGTCTGTCGCTCCGCACGAAGCCTCAGGTCTTCTCAGCCACGGTCATTCCCTCCCTTCTGTACGCTTGCGAAACATGGATCCCCCGAATGGAACATCTTCACCGGTTAAAAATGTTTAGGCTGACCTGCCTACGATTCATCCTGGGTTTCACCAGGCTGGATTGTGTGAGAAGCTCACAAATCCTTTAAAGGCAAGTCTGCGTTGGCTGGGTCATGTAGCCCGCATGCCCAGCCACCAAATGCCTAAACAGTTTTTGTTCGGCCGGATAGACGGGGCTAAACGGGCGCGGTACGGGTTAGAGAAGAGATGGAGAGATGTGGTACAAGAGGATGTGGAGCTAAGTGGACTTGCCGATGACTGGTACCAGTGGTATCAAGATCGGCTTCTGTGGAGGAGGCTCATGAAGGACGCTACTGGGCAGTTGGAGGCAGTCGCCGTCCAACAACAACGGAGGGCGGAGGAGCGACGCCCACAAAAACGAGTGGAGCGTCGGGTGGCTATAGCACAGCAGGTTGGGACAGTAGGCGGCACAGGTGATGCATCAGCCAGTCATCTCAGTCAGTCTATCCGTGGCACCTGCTGGGTCTGCCCCGTGACCTCCTTCCAGCGGGCATTCAACACTTCACGTGGCCTCAACGTGCACAATGCCTGGCACGAGCGCCGTGGTGACGTCACCGCCACTTAGTGGCGAATGGCGGTTGTTGTGGTCTGTGTCAGTGTGTGTGGTCTGTGTGTCAGTGTGCATGTCACCTTGTGGGGAGCAGTAGTGTAGCGGTTAGCGCGCTGTGCTAAGAACCCCACATCCCACGTTCAATTTCAACACTGGTGACAATTATCTAAACTAGACCTGGGCCTCCCCTAGGTAGACTCAGCCTCAATTTAGTACCTGGTGCAGTGTGTAAACATCGCCACTCGTGAGACAAGTGGCGGTGTCATGGTGCTGGCCACCCACCCTCCTCGTGTGCAGTGCCGGCCTTCATTAGATGCTCGCTCACAGCACTTGCCTCAGCGTCCTGTTGAGGCTGCACAGCGGGTTGGATCTTTGTCTTTGTGTGCGCGCGTCAGGCGTGGCAGTACCTGGGAACGACGCTCGCGGAGAACGAGCAGGACCCAGCTGCCATCACGGCCCTGCAAAGGTCGGTTACCCTGGGGTCACGGATACTCTGATGGGGTCAGAGATGGTCGGTTGGGGTCACGCCATTCATTTCCATCGGTTGTTATGAATGATGATATCAATGTAATATTTTTTTTTTTACTTCACATCTGCAACGACATTTTCGGAGGGGGTGGGAAAAAAAACATTCCTGCGGAGGGAGCTGGTAGGAACGTTGGGTTGCTCGGTCAATGGCCAGGGTCAACGGCGGTGTGGTGTATTCCGCAAATATGCCCGACGTGAGTAGGTTAAACGTTGAGTTTTATAAGGGCACCACGGGGTGACCAGCCCCTCCCCACCCAGCCCCTCCCCACCCTCCCCACCCTCCTCACCCAGCCCCTCTCCACCCTCCCCTCCCTACCCAGCCCCACCCTCCCCACCCAGCCCCTCCCCACCCAGCCCCTCCCCTCCCACCCCCCACCCTCCACACCCAGCCCCTCCCCACCCTCGACACCCAGCCCCTCCACACCCTCCCCTCCCCACCCAGCCCCTCCCTACCCACCCAGCCCCTCCCCACCCTCCCCTCTCCACTCAGCCCCACCCCTCCCATTTTTGGATGCACGACAGACGGACACAATAATCCCCTGTGGGCTGGTGGTGTAACCAGGAGGTTCCTACCAGTAAAATAACTTCCGTTGCTACAACTTTGGCGAAAGGGCGTAACCTGCAACCTGCACCTTCACGTCTCTACCTCCTCCCCCTCCCGCTCTGCTCCTCCAGGTGCCTGGAGCTGCAGCCCAACAACCTCACGGCCCTGCTGGCGCTGGCCGTGAGCCTCACCAACGAGTCGTGCCAGCCGCAGGCGTGCGAGAGCCTGCGCGCCTGGCTGCTCGCTCACCCGCTCTACGGTACCACGCCGGCGGCGCCGCCAGCGGCACCACCGGCACCACTGGCTCCGCCGGCGCCTCTGGCACCGCCGGCACCGCCGGCGCCCGGGCGCAATGCCGGGGGAGACACTGCAGGGGAGAGGCCGGCGCCAGGCGGAGACGCGGTCGCCACCAGCACCACCGCGACCACCACCACCACCGCCGCCGCCGCCACCACGCAGCCCGCGCAGCCGGTGCCAGAGTGAGTTCTCACTCTCCCTCTCTCTCTGGGGGGGGGGGGGGGGGTTGGTGATGTTGGTGGTGGTGATTTTGGAGGTGTTTTCCCGTATTGTGGGAGACATTGATGATGTGCCTACAAGCGACAATTACATTAACGTTCACTCTGTGTTGATGTTAAGTAGATGATGGTGGAGGTGACGGTGGTGATTACACTGGTAATGCAAACAAAGAAGGTGCCAACGGTGACACTGATGGTGCTGATGACACGGAGGATGATGCTGATGACGACGCTGATGACGACGCTGATGATGACACTGATGATGACACTGATGGCGATGCTGATAGTGCCGATGATGGTGCTGATAACGCTGGTGATGGTGCCGATGACGCTGATGACGGTGGTGATGACAATACTGACGGTGCCCGTGACGACGCCGGTGACAGTGCCGCTGACGACGACGCGCGCTTCCTCCACACAGCCTCCTGCGCGAGGTGAAGGCGCTCTTCCTGCTCGCCGCCCGCGATGGCCGCGCCCCCCGTGACCCCGACCTGCAGACGGCGCTCGGGGTCATCTTCAACCTGAGCGGGGAGTACGAGCGCGCCGTCGAGTGCTTCACCCACGCCGTGCACGCTCGCCCCGAGGTGCGTCCTCGGCTGCTGCAGCAGCACGGCGCCGCGTAATCACGGCGGGGGTGAGTACTCACGATGGCGAGTCCTCAGAGCGGGAAGTACTCATGGCGGTGAGTAATCACGGCGGCGAGTACTTACGGCGGAGTGCCGCCCGTTGCGGGCGTACTCGGGTTCGTCAAAAGCAACCGGTCAACCGGTAACCGTTTTCAGAATCGACTAGCGGTTACAAAAGGCCAAGATCCCGGTCACCCGTCTTCCAGCGGAACGTTGGGAAGGAACACGCCCTCACTTCTCCAGTTTAAAAGGCAGAGGCGCAGCCTTGCAAGTGCTCACTCATGCCACTGCCGGCGTGGAGGGCCTCCACTAGATGGAGCTCTTAAGTGGTGGTTTTGTTGGTCTACTCTTCCACGCTGCCGAGATGTCCTCGAAGAGGTATGGGTAACTCACACTTTACCCGACTGCGCGCGCGCACACACACACACACGAATGTACGCACGCACGCGCACACACACCAACAACCTCCATTCGCCACTAAGTGGCGGTGATGTCACCACGACGCTTGTGCCAGGCTGTGTGCACGTTGAGGCCACGTGAAGTGTCGAAAGTTCGCTGGCAGGAGGTCACGGGGCAGACCCAGCAGGTGCCACGGGTCCAATGACTGAGATGACTGGCTGATGCATCACCTGTGCCCCCTACTGTGCCAACTTGCTCACTGATGGGATTTTGCCCAGATCTTTCAAGGATTTGTGAGCTCCTCACACAATCCAGCCTGGTTAAACCCAGGATGGATCGTAGGCAGGCCAGCCTAAATGTTTCTAACCGGAGAAGATGTTCCATTAGGGGGGTTCACGTTTTGCAAGCGTAGAGAAGGGAGGGAATAACCATTGCCGGGAAGACCTGAAGCGCGCACACACACACGCACGCACGCGGACACACACGCGGACACACACACACGCGGACACACACACACGGGGACACACACGCACACGGACACACACGCACACGGCCGTGTGTGCGTACGCGACCCGAGTGGCTGCCTGTAGTGGAGAGGCACTTCCGCCAGCAGCGGTGCAATTAGGAAACTGCAGGGCTGCGCCTTTACCACAGGGTGTGGGCTCCCCCACCCCCCCCCACCTCACACAGGATCACCTGCTGTGGAACAAGCTGGGGGCATCGCTGGCCAACGGGAGCCGTAGCGAGGAGGCGGTGGAGGCTTACTACCACGCGCTGGCGCTGCAGCCCGGATACGTGCGCTCCTGGTACAACCTGGGCGTCAGCTGGCTCAACATGGGCGCCTACCGGTAAAGCCACCTCCCCCGCCGCCCCACACCCACCACAACCATCCCCACCACAAAGATAGAGACCCCCCCCCCCATCGTACACAGCGTGCCGGGTACTAATTTAAGGCCCAGTTGACTCAGGGGGTGGGGGGGGGATCCCGAGTGCGACGAGTTTCAATGAGTAGCGCACTGTCGCACGCCATCGTAGACAGTGACGGATTATCCTAGTCGCACAAATAGCTGGATATGTACAGTGAGGGAAACAAGTATTTGATCCCCTGCTGATTTTGTACGTTTGCCCACTGACAAAGAAATGATCAGTCTATAATTTTAATGGTAGGTTTATTTGAACAGTGAGAGAGAATAACAACAAAATCCAGAAAAACGCATGTCGAAAATGTTATAAATTGATTGGCATTTTAATGAGGGAAATAAGTATTTGACCCCTCTGCAAAACATGACTTAGTACTTGGTGGCAAAACCCTTGTTGGCAATCACATAGGTCAGACGTTTCTTGTAGTTGGCCACCAGATTTGCACACATCTCAGGAGGGATTTTGTCCCACTCCTCTTTGCAAATCTTCTCCAAGTCATTAAGGTTTCGAGGCTGGCGTTTGGCAACTCGAACCTTCAGCTCCCTCCACAGATTTTCTATGGGATTAAGGTCTGGAGACTGGCTAGGCCACTCCAGGACCTTAATGTGTTTCTTCTTGAGCCACTCCTTTGTTGCCTTGGCCGTGTGTTTTGGATCATTGTCATGCTGGAATACCCATCCACGATCCATTTTCAATGCCCTGGCTGAGGGAAGGAGGTTCTCACCCAAGATTTGACGGTACATGGCCCCGTCCATCGTCCCTTTGATGTGGTGAAGTTATCCTATCCCCTTATCAGAAAAACACCCCCAAAGCATAATGTTTCTACCTCCATGTTTGACGGTGGGGATGGTTTTCTTGGGGTCATAGGCAGCATTCCTCCTCCTCCAAACATGGCGAGTTGAGTTGATGCCAAAGAGCTCCATTTTGGTCTCATCTGACCACAACACTTTCACCCAGTTGTCCTCTGAATCATTCAGATGTTCATTGGCAAACTTCAGACGGGCATGTATATGTGCTTTCTTGAGCAGGGGGACCTTGCGGGCGCTGCAGGATTTTAGTCCTTCACGGCGTAGTGTGTTACCAATTGTTTTCTTGGTGACTATGGTCCCAGCTGCCTAGAGATCATTGACAAGATCCTCCCGTGTAGTTCTGGGCTGATTCCTCACGATTCTCATGATCATTGCTACTCCACGAGGTGAGATCTTGCATGGAGCCCCAGGCCGAGGGAGATTGACGGTTCTTCTGTGTTTCTTCCATTTGCGAATAATCGCACCAACTGTTGTCACCTTCTCACCAAGCTGCTTGGCAATGGTCTTGTAGCCCATTCCAGCCTTGTGTAAGTCTACAATCTTGTCCCTGACATCCTTGGAGAGCTCTTTGGTCTTGGCCATGGTGGAGAGTTTGGAATCTGATTGATTGATTGCTTCTGTGGACAGGTGTCTTTTATACAGGTAACAAACTGAGATTAGGAGCACTTCCTTTAAGAGTGTGCTCCTAATCTCAGCTCGTTACCTGTATAAAAGACACCTGGGAGTCAGAAATCTTTCTGATTGAGATGGGGTCAAATACTTATTTCCCTCATTAAAATTCAAATCAATTTATAACATTTTTGACATGCGTTTTTCTGGATTTTTTTGTTGTTATTCTGTCTCTCACTGTTAAAATAAACCTACCATTAAAATTATAGACTGATCATTTCTTTGTTAGTGGGAAAACGTACAAAATCAGTAGGGGATTAAGTACTTTTTTCCCTCACTGTAGCTATGGGGCCTGCACTTTGAAGGGCCCCGTGCTAAATGCTTTCAAGCTATCAATTCCGGTTCAGTGATTCTGCACTTGCTCTATTACTATAGTACTATACCGCCTTCAACATTTATAAACGACCGGGTGTTTAAGGTTAGCGATTTGTCGTATTATCTGGCTGTATAGCAAATAAAAAATACATACAATTAAATTTCGATTTAAAGCTTTCGTGATTTAATCCATACTACAGGTTCTATTTTGGCTTAGATCCACGTAAATATATATTTGAACCAATTGTACATTTTATAAGGTATCACCATCTTAACGAGCGAGTAACTGCAAGCGAATGAAAACAATCGAACGGACGCTCTGCGTGCCCGGTGTCATTCGATCACGCTCACCGGTTACTCTTGTAAACCCGCATTGTGTTATGATCGATGAGTTTATAAAGGTCTTTTATATTGTTCTGGGTGACCATGTAGATTACACTTTTAGCATAGTTATTTTATCTTGGCAGATTCATACAACGTGATTATTCACCGACGATATAATTTCACACAATTATAAATCGCCTCACGTAGCCCCCCCCTGGGACATTGCCACGTGTACCCCCCCAGGGCACCGCGTACTCCCGTTTGAGAAGCCACTGCTCTATATATTAAGGCGTTACCGGCTACTTAATGAGTTTTAACGTATGGGAGGAAAACAAAGACCTCCCGGGAGAAAATCCATGCTTGCAAGTTCGATTCCTGCTCGCGTCCAACTTTACAACTTTAGCGTCGGTTATCTGAACCGTCCATGGGCCTTTCTCTACGGCCGACTCGGCCTTAAATGAGTACCTGTTACGCAGTGTGGCTCAAGCATCACCACTGGGGGAGACAAAGGGGAAATCGGCCGTGGGGCTGGCCGCACCACCCACTCGTGTGCCGTGCGGGCCTTCATAGCTGCTCGCCAACAGCGCTCGCAACGACGGCCTGGCAAAGGCTTCACGCGGGGGAGGGAGGGGGGGAGATATTACAACGGCATTTACATTGCAACTCCGTTCTTGGAAACGTGAATCTCACGTTCGCCGATGAACCCGCAGACAAAGCCGAAAGGTGGCCGCGGCGGTGGCAGCAGCAGCCAGAAGCCAACGCCGACCAATGATTGCCCAAACCCTGCGGTCCTCCGTTGATAACAGCCCGCCTTCGCCTGTGGTTGTGACCCTCGGGTGCAGGGAGGCGGTGGCGGACCTGCTCGAGGCACTGGTCAAGCAGCGCAAGAGCCTCGGGAGACGGCGCGATGGGGCCGCGATGTCCGACAACATCTGGGCGGCGCTGCGCCTGGCGCTCAGCGGCATGGGCGAAGCGGAGCTGTGCCGCGCGGCGGATGCCCGCGACGTGCAGACGCTCATACAGGCGTTCACGCAGCATTGACGGCGGCGGTGCAGGCCCTGCTACGGGCGACGGTGACAACGGGACCGCGACGCTTACGACTTCAGACTTGGGACCAGGCGCTCGTACGGGCGTTTACGCGGCGCTGACGACACCGACGCCGCCGGCCAACGTACAGGCGACGGCGTGCCTCAGGCCGCGGCCTGCTACAAGCGGCGGTGACAACAGGACCGTGATGCTTACGACTTCAGACTTGAGACGAGACGGTCATACGGGCGTTCACGCAGCACTGAAGTGACGCGGTGCCGGTCACGTGCCGACCGCGCCCTGCTACAGGCGGCGGTGACGACAGGACCGCGACACTTGCAGCTTCAGACTTGGGACCAGGCGCTCGTACAAGCGTTCCCGCAGCACTGACGTGACGCCAGCCGGGTGTGGGCAGTGACCTCATACAGGCAGCGGCGAGGTCAGCGCTTGAGACGAGGCGCCCATACGCAGTTGGTTGGTGACGTTAGTACTGTGAGGCGACAACTTCAGACCAGTCCCCCATACAGGCATCCATGCGCCACTCGTGATGGGCGCCAGGAGGCTCATACAGGCAGCGGTGATGTTAAATAACAAAAACACTCGCACAGACGAAAGTGACCTGAAGATGTCCATGCGGGCAATGGTCAAGTCGAGACTTCAGCCAAGCTATTGACATTCGCAGGTAGTGCGAATAACCACACATACTGGCAGCAGTAGCATCTGGAATCTCATACAAGCAGCATCCACGACGTCTCGTATATGTTGTTCCGATGACTGCTGCTCATATTGGCAGCAGAGCCGCGCTCCTACGGGCGTTTGTTTTATTACGGATGAAAATCACCACCGATATTAACTTCAACTTAACTCATTAATCCACAGGAGAACCTCCTCAGTCTCAGGGGGGTCCTGCCGTTGGGACGTTGCCCCCCCCCCCCCCCCCCCCGATTCCCTTTTTTACTCACGTTTTAGTTTCGTGTGGGAGAAAACCGGAGACCCCGGAGAAACCCCCACCACACTGAAAGGAAAGCAATAACAAATGTCCGTAATGGGTTCACGAATCCACTTGCAGGGGTCAGGGTTAATAAGTTTCGTTGCGCATTGCCAGTGAGCACCGACTCTGTTCGCTGCGTGCGACCGCGACGTCAGTGGCGTGGCTCGAGTTCTGCAGTGGTAAAGCCAACCTGGCGCCTCCTGAGCCATGCCGGGCTGGCTCGGCACGGCTCAGTTGTCCAGTGGAAAAAGAGAAAACATGTATCAGAGTCAGCGGGGACCAATTGACCAATGTTGACTTCCCACCAAGTGCTCAACTCTTTATTGGTCCTGGACGGATAATGATTGGCCAAGGCAAACCATGACTAGGAAATGTAACTTACGGCCGTGTGAATGCTCTGACCACATTACATACCAGGCCTGATCTATATAACAGGGTATAAACACAAATCTGCCACATTTATCCCAAACAATTTAAATGTGTTAACTGAAGCCTTCTGTGTCTTTGTGAGTGTTAGATGGAGAGAGTGTGGGGTCATCTTCAACTCACATGAACTGAACCACGAGGGGAGAGAGAAGGTGGCCTTTCCTCTTTGTCAGGAACCCCGATCAACTCAATTCTTTTAGGTAATCAGCGAGAACGGTCGCCCGAAGATAGTATAAAAATAAGAATATCGGATAAGATAGATAGTATAAAAAGTAATCACACGCACGGTAAATTCGCGACCGAGATCAATCGGCCACCCATAAATTGATCGATGGAGAGTTTTGACGGTGAATATCCGGAGCTGTGATCCCAGGCTCGGATGTAGCTTGAAGCTTCATTGATGAGAAACGAGCGTTCAAAAGTTACTCCGACCCGCAGTGGAGCTTTTGTGGCATTACACCGTGGCATCGCTGCTCTTCAATGCGGCCCGCAACGTCCCAAGCGGGGCGCCGTTCACTTCCACTTACCAAGACGCCGATGGATTCGGTGCCAGCGCGGTGGCACTTGTCGCCAATCTTGGAATTCCCCTGCTTGCCAAACCCCCCCCCCCCCATGTGCCTTAACACGGCCACCTCCCAGCATGCAGCTCCTAGCATATCTGCGTTGTCGGCTTCTCACAAACGCACGGGCGCTTCGATCCGTGGCCTGTAGTGCCGGCCTCCCGCAATGCACCACCGGCACCTGCGTAAAGTCGGGTGGGTTACCGCAACCGTGTCGCTAAAAGGGCGGTTGGGAGGGTGGGGGGCATCAACATCCCGCTGTCGCCTCTGCGATCGTGACCAATTCTTCCGTTTCTCATCAAATGGAGAAGCAGCGGCATGGCCCGGACTTTGAGACAGTCCGGGCCATGCCGCTGCAAATGAGCGCGCAGCTATGAAGCGCCGACTGTGTATTTTTGGAACCGACAAATCTCCGCACCGGGATGCTGGTCCCCGTACCAACGAGATAAGTAAATAAACAACTTTATAAACCAGGCCACCGCCTCCTACCCCCCCCCCCCCCCCCCCCCCCCCCCCCCGTTGAGCTGCAGTTTGCCTGCGACTTCCTCTTCTGGTTACGGATGTGGTTCTGGCCCTTGTGCGCCTGTACCGGCCTCTATAGATGCTCGCCAACAGCGCTTGCCTCAACAGTCTTGTTAACGGCTGCACGGGTCAACCGTCTTTGCCCACCGAAGGCAACACATGTCCTATGTGGCCCTCGGCAAAGGACAAACTTGGCCACCCCTGCCCAAAGCCATCTTTGTCATAACAAGATTGGCCATAGTGGGCCGCACAGGCGGCCGGAGGGAGGGATGGGGGGGGCCGCTGTAGGCCGCAGGCAATTGCTATCGCTGCTGTTAACCTTACAAACCCCTATCGTGTGCGGTGTGCTCTTCCAAAATGCACTTTGTTATGGTCTTAGGACACCAAGAGAAATGTATCATTTTCCTGTAATAATCTCTTAATCAACTGTGTGCAATAATATATGCTGAAGTGGAAAATGTATAACGTATAAAATAAACCCTCGAGCACCTGAAGGGGTGTCCTATTTTGTAAAAATGTATTCTACCAGGGTCGGATGAAGGTTCTTGTAGGCCCTAGGCACTTCTATTTCATAGCCCTTCAGTGCTAACTCTAGAGAGTTGGTGCTGTTGCTGCTGCCCCATGTCACTACTGCCGCTCACTTGTTTCACGCCTACTTCGCCCAGCCGCAAGACAGACGTCGGTACCGACACGTTCATTATTTAGTCTGTGCCCTCATTCAATGGGAGCGTGCTGTGTGCCGCAGATTCTATTTGAAATGATTGCAAAAAGATATTATAAGCTAAAATGGTTTCAACTATTTTTTACTCTGATTGTATATAAATTCGGATGACTTAGCTTTTAAAGGATGCCGTTCATTTTCACCGATAACAAATTCAACGTTCTGGCAGGACGACCACGTGCTGAGCGCCATGTTGCTTTACTTGCGTTGAAGCTTAAAGATGAATATTCTTTGGGTCTTTTGGTAAAGTCACGGAGAACAAAACAATTTAAGATTTGTTTGACGTATTTTGGGTGTAATTTGCCTTACGAGTCAACGACTTGTTACCACTGCAAAGGGATCGCAACGAGCAGCCAACAAATTGTGGCAAAAAGAATGAATACATTGTCAGAATTACTGCAGATAAGTTGCCATATTTCCCCAGTTTACCTTAGAAGTGGCAGGGACGAGGGCTACTTGCCTATTTTTGGTTAAATTAGAAGATAAAGATTGCGCATTAGGTCTATACTTTAAATTCTAGTATCATTGCATTTTTTCATTCTTAGTAGTCTCTTACACTTCTGTTTGGTCGAGCTGTTCAGATTGTAATTGGCTGCTCACTTTGTGCGTTTATTTCAAATAATTTACTCATGTAATTTCCTACATTGAAAATGTGCTGTTTTTGAGAATGTATGTTTTAATTTGAGGTGATCCCACCGTTCACAGTCATCCAATGTCAGATGGACATAAGATAAAGCCTGAATCAAAACACGAGAAGATGCAGAACGAGAAAAAAAATCATGAAGCATTGAAATAGATCAAGGGATCTATTCTAAAAGTTCATGAACAAGGATGTGAAAAGTGATAGTGCAAAGCTCCGTTGGAATCACCATTAATAATACAGTTGGATCATGATAGTGAGCCTTGTGAAAAGATTGTTCTTGAAGCAGAATCTCATTCGCACATAAGAGGTTTGATCAAGTGAAGAACAGGTGAAAGCCCCTGTGGTGGAATCACAAACTCCAAAGTTAACATCAGATGCAGACTTTCCTCGTAGGCCTGACAGTGATTCTGCACTGGATAGAAGTCACTGCAGAATTGAGATCCTATTTTGCTGATATAACGCCATCTCAGAATGTTGATTCTGACTTTTCCTTAGTGCCCATCCATTTAGTACGTATGAAGTGCCGTGAATTCACTCGGACGACAACCGTCTCTTTTTCCGCCATCACTTTTATTCCATCGTTCCATACACACAGTAATTATCTCCGTGCTCCGCCAACTCGGACACTCCGATTTACTTCAGCATCGTCCGTGCTTCCCTTTCCACACACAGTGTTTCTTCGCCTATCTCTTCACACAGTGTCTTCCCTTCCACACACAGTGGTTCGTCTTCTATCTCTTCCACACACAGTGGTTCATCTTCTATCTCCTCACACACAGTATCGCCGCTATCTCTTCACACGCAGTGACTTCCCTTCCACACACAGTGGTTCGTCTTCTATCTCCTCACACACAGTATCGCCGCTATCTCTTCACATGCAGTGACTTCCATCTATTCACACACAGTGACTCCCATCTATTCACACACAGTGACTCTATCTATCTCCGCTAACGCTGACTCTGTCTTTGGGGTCCGGCTCTCTATCTATTCTTCCCTAACATTTCCAGCTGTCTTCTTCGTATCTCTTCACCTCTCGCCAACAACTGCCCAGCAACAACTCCCCAGCAGCAACTCCCCTCCGTTCAAACCACCTCGCGTTTTATCCCCTCTCGCATTAGCCTTAATTAATTGCCACGTGGCTCGCTGGCCGTTTCCCGCCAGCCCGCACCGTCTCCTTCATCAGACATCCAGACGCCACCACTTAACGCTAACAGCCTCTCGACCAATCGCAGCCCTCGTGCCACGACTCCCTTAATTACTTGGGGTTGTTTACGCCACCCGCGACTCGACCACCTGTTCGACCTCATGTGACCCGTTCTCCTTGTCTGTCTGTATGTACTGTATATGGCCAATTCCTATGCGTATTATTTACTCCACTACATCAACCCCCCCCCCGTGATGAAAGAGCCTAGCCGTCCCCGGCTACAATATACTCGAATTGGAGTAGTGGAGTGAAGCGGACGGAACGATGACAACATATATACATAACGCATTTGCAATATACAACCATTTTGTACAATCACGCAACGACACGCACACAACACCTTTATACAGAATTCCCAACCCCCAAAGTCAATGTATTGTATTCCTCCAGGAACGGGTTCCCGCTGCCGGTCCATCTCCCCTGCACGGGATACCCTGCGGTAAGGGAGGGCCTCGCTCGTCTTGCCAATGAACCCTACGCCCATCCCTGTCCCAGCGACACTCAGCTGGCGGGGCTGTCCGTCGTTCCCGGTCGGGACGGCCATTGGTCCGGATCTGTGGCCGTTCAATCGGCGTCCGGTTGGTAACCCTGCCCAAAAAGGGCGATCCTGCAGGCACACGGGGGGCAGATCTCTGGGACACGTGCACTTGTGACCTCCCCACAGGTTCGTCGGACACATCCAATACAGGCCGCTCTCGGATGGGGGATGACGCATCATATGGTAACACAAATTTCTTCAGGCGCGACGGGTGAACAAACCATGTCGACGACCGAATTTTATTCGCACACTCTGATCCCGTAAAACCTCCACAATATCAACGGGCCCCTGCCAGGGGCGGAGAAATTTCGGGGACGTTCCCACCGGCACCATGGGGCAGTGCAACCAGGCTTTATCTCCAACACTCCACGGCTCTCGTGGCCGCTGCCTGCCGAACAATCTTTCGTTAGCGGCTTGTCGTCGTGCCGTATTTTGCAATGCAGCCTCTCGGGCTTCCCTTAGACGGTCCAAAGCCACCTGCATCGGAGCAGGCACCGTCGTAGATTTCTCCCGTTTTCGAATTCCCAATTTCACAATAGCCGGCGCTTCCGGTTCCTGTCCATACATCAGAAAAAATGGCGAGTACTCCGTTGAGGCATGCGGGGCCAATCTAGCGGCTTGTCGTCGTGCCGTATTTTGCAATGCAGCCTCTCGGGCTTCCCTTAGACTGTCCAAAGCCACCTGCATCGGAGCAGGCACCGTCGTAGATTTCTCCCGTTTTCGAATTCCCAATTTCACAATAGCCGGCGCTTCCGGTTCCCGTCCATACATCAGAAAAAATGGCGAGTACCCCGTTGAGGCATGCGGGGCCAATCTATACGCGGCCAGCGTCGCTGCAACATGCAGATCCCAATCATCTTGAGCGGTGTTTACTTGGTGACAAAAGCATGGGCGTCAGCGTCCTATGCAGCCGCTCGACCATCCCGTCAGTCTGCGGGTGGTATGGGGACGTCCGAATCTTTTTGGTCCCCAGCGAGTCACACACGTCCTTAATCAATTTCGATGAAAAATTTCTGCCTTGGTCAGTAAGCAAATGTTCCGGGGCCCCCTTATCTAATACGTATCCATTCAAGAAAGCCTCAGCGATCGACGTCGCTGACTGGTCTACTAGCGGCCATGCCATCGGCCAACGAGTTAAGTATTGCCCTCGGGGGGGTGATGGGAAACGGACCCAAAATATCCAGTGCCACAATTTCGTTCACTCTCGAAACTTGAATCGATTGCAAAGGGACACAATATGGCCGTGCCGGCGCTTTCCTCCATGCACATTGCTGGCACGCTTTTACATGCTCTTTCACATCGTTAAACATTCCCGGCCAGTAAAATTCACTCCCCACCGTCAACGTGGTCTTCTTCTCCCCCAGATGCAGCAATTTCTCATGTACCTCGTTAATCAGTTTCCCCCGCAACACCTTCGGGACAACAATACAAATTTTTTGTGCTTCCACATCCCAGCGAACAAGCAACCCCTCCGTTAACATCAAAAAATGGGCGATCCTCCGATCCCCTTGAACGAGAGGCACGCAGCCTCATCCTGGTCAGCGAGGAATCTTCCACCTGCAGTTGCTTCCACTGCTTCAATGACAACCCCAACAGTCCAATTTCTGCTCCAGGGACTATCCCTGGCACCCCCGAACCCGCTGCAGCGACCGTTTGCGGAACCTCCTGCAGCGGCGGGCCGCAACGCAGCGAGCCCTCTTTGCACCGACACGTCTCAGCCGGTCGCGGCAACCTCGACAAAGCATCCGCCGTTTACATGGTGCGTCCCTTTCCTATGCTGGATCGTGAAAGAGTACTCCTGGAGGGTCTCAATCCAGCGAGCCATATGCCCCGATGGGTGATCCACGTGCAGCGAGTACTGTAGCGCCGCGTGATCAGTGCGGATCAAAAATTCCCTGCCGTATAGATACGGTTGGTACTGGCGCACAAAATGGACAATCGCCAATAATTCCCTACGCGTCACACAGTATTTTTGCTCCGCCGGCGATAACACCCGGCTGCCATATGCCACCACTCTCTCGACGCCATCAACCATTTGTGACAGAACCGCGCCTATGCCCGTATCACAGGCATCCGTGTCAAGTATAAACTGCTTCGTAAAATCCGGGTATCCCAACGGCGGTGCGTCCGCCAGTGCGGCCCGCAACGCTTCAAACGATTTTTGTTCAGCAATCCCCCATTGAAACTTTACACCTTTCCCGGTCAGCATATGCAATGGTTGAGCAATCGTGGCAAAATCCTTAACGAACCGCCGATAATACGACGCAAAGCCCACAAAGCTACGCACTTCCCCTGCTGTTTTCGGCACTGGCCATGTACGCACACAACTCGTCTTTTCCGGATCAGTGGCCACTCCTGACGCACTAACGACGTGCCCCAAATACTTCA